CACTCAGCATCAGCATCTTAGCCTTGCAGTTCCTCACACACACCAGGGACATTCCTGCTCTGCTGTAGGGCCTTTGTGATTGCTATTTCCTCACACAGATAACCTCGTGCTGGGCTTCCCCTCCCCTCCTTTGGGTCTTTTCCTTGAGTGTCACCTTCTCAGTGAGGCTTGCTCTTATCTCCCTTTTGCTAATTGCAAACAACTGCTTCTCCTTCCTCCCCAGGATTTCTCAGCACTTAGTTTTCTCCCCAGTACTTGTCACCCTGTAACACACCCCTTATGTTTCTTATTTGCCTTGTTTTGTTATCTGTTTCCCCAACAGAAGGATTACTCCATGAGGGCAAAACTCTCTCTGTTTTGTTTCCTGCTGTATCCTCAGCATCTAGAACAGTGCCTGGCACATCTTTCCAGCAATACCACCTTTGTGTGTATGTGTGTGGCTGCCCTCCACCAGCTAATATCTTCCGGTCTTTCCTGTGGGGCTTTCTCCAAGGTCTTGGAAGGCTGTTTAGGCCAGAAGTGCTCAGAAGTGACACCCACTGGAAGCAGCCTCAGCCAGTAGGACCTGAGCTTAAAAACTCCACCTCCCTTGCCCTTGCCCTTCAAATGATCCGTGTCTGAGGCACATGTTCTACACCACTTTCCAGAGTTTCTCTGTGGGATTAAGCTCCATCCACCACACTACCAGCTAACGATAGCCACCCTTAATTGGCTGCCTTCGCCTCCATTTCCTCCCCACTCCCCATTACTGTCTGCCACACCTCCCGAATGAACTGCTTCCTTTCCAGTCCTTGTTTCAGGGTCAGCTTCTGGATGAGCACAAATTAGCACCATGCTCACCAATATATTTGAGAAAGGCTATATGAATAATTCTACACATCAAACAGAGAGACTAATAGAAATGCTTGCCAAAGTGGTACACTTGTTGCCTCAGAAAGGTGAAATGTAAGATGCTTACGTGTATGTATCTTGATATGTTTACAATTAGCAAGAGTCCCAAAAAGAATAAAGCTGTTTCTTACTCCCCACCACGCACTCACATTACCTGAATCTTGAGGGAACTAAGAATAAGATGGTCCTTATATCCCATAGCAACATAATAACTCTCGGACACTCATGGAAAATTCTCTGGGGCTAACGACAGCTGGGTCACTGCTCTTATACCCAAGAATCACTAAAAGGTTCCCTTGAGGAGGAGGGAAGCTGAGCAAGCATTCCAGCTCTCAATGTGCACATGTTTCGGGAGGTGTGAACACTGATACCGTTTATGTAAGCAAGAAGACAACGCTGCTGTCTGGTCCGGGATTCGTTTGAAGATCCACAATTATCCCCATGTGGTAAGCTACCAGTGCTCCTCATCCCTATAAGACACTTCTTTCTAATTATCCCCCCTCTGATAGTGTGCCAGGACACTGGCTGAGAGAAAGCCAAGTGGAAAGAGTCTATTCAGTGATGAGGAACCCAAGACTTGGTGCCAAGGATCGAAACCAAGCAAAGTTGTAATTTTCCGTTGGTGAAAACAACCATACTTCTTATTAGTGTGGTTTCTTCTCTACAAGTGGCCTCGACAGCAGCTGCCCCAAAGAAGCATCTTGTTTCCATATTAAATTTCTGTGAAGCATACGGGCAAACTCAAAGGCCATGATGAGGCTTGCTGGAGAAGCCAGCTGCAGGCGCTGGGAGAGAAGCAGACCATTCTGAAGGAATGGTGCCGGTGGGTGAAGAACCTTGTAACAGTTATTTGCATGATGGTCTACTGGTGGAGGCTCTAAATGTGAGCCCAAACTCCCACATACGTGAGTTTTTATATAACCCAAAATTTATTTTTTAAATGCAGCATATATTTATATATATAATTTTATTTTTTATTGACTTCCAGAGAGGAAAGGAGAAGGAGAGAGAGAGAAAAAGCAATGATGAGAGAGAATCATCAATTGGCTGCTTCCTACATGCTCCACACTAGGGATTGAGCCCACAAGCCAGGTATGTGCCCTAACCAGGATTCGAACTGAGATCTCCTGGTTCAAAGGTTGACGCTCAACCGCTGAGCCACACCTGCTGGGCTTTATTAAACTTTTATTAGGTAAACCCAAACAGGTGAGTCACAGCACAGTCCAAGGTTCTATATTCACAAGAATTGTAAGTCAAATTCTACATTCCAAGTCTCTCCCTGTATGTGAACTTAAAATGATAGATTTTTTCTTTTGAAACAGGAAGAGAGAAATTTTGAAGACCACATAATAGCCCTAGTTATTTTTAGATAGAGACAGTAAAATTAATAAAATCATTCAGACTGATTTGGTGAAAGGTTTGTATAAATTAGCAGAAATTCTGGGCTTAAAATAGTGCCATTTTAGTTCTTTAGGCCTACCAAGTGTTCTGTATTACACCTGAATTACCACGAGGAAACAGGTTTGCTGCTCTTAGGGAACCTCTTTAATGAATAAGAAATCTTAATTATGTATCATTCAGTGTCATTTAATTATTATGTATCATTTAATATTAATAGGTGATTTACAAGTACTTGAACCTTCAGAAATTTGAAAACATATGTCTATGCAAAAAATTGTGCATGAATGTTCACAGCAATTTTATTCCTATAAATGGTTGAGCATTAGTTCATTGTGGGCAACCTTTAGACAGACACGGTTCTCACCTGGGCGTTAGCCATTGCTGGCAGCAGAGGCTGAGGGCAGCCAGGGTCATATGTTCCAGCAGTGGTATCAGCTACAGAATCAGCCTGGAGGTCAGCTGCTGAGGTCTTAGGTAATACACAGCTGGAATAAACACCCTGAAGAACTTGAACCTGAAGGTTCCCAATTTGCTATTTCAAGTGGTTACATGCCTGCCCAAATACTATCTATAACAATACATGAAGGCAACA